TCATCTTCAAAAATTTAAATTCAATGTCAATCGTTGTCTGCTGTCTTCTTGTTCTCGCTACTTAATAATGTTTTTCTTTTTCTTTTTATTCTTTTACACTCAGTAACCGCTTGTGTCTTAGTGGATTTACTGCCTTCTATGGGGTGAAATGATTAAAAAAGAAGTGATGCTCCCCGACAGGATGCATGAAATCTTAAAAAAAGAAACGCTCATGATAGAAATAGTAAAGATAACTTCATGTTGGAATGAATGCATTGAAGAACTATTCTATGATGATAGAAGAGAGAAATCTATACTACATAAAAGCACAGAAGAAACTGTATATATATATATATATATATATATATATATATATATATATATATATATATGCACAACTATTTACTCCGATCTTAGTAGCAAGTCTGACACCTACGACAAAGTAAAAGTCAAAACTGCTCTCGAGAAGGAATTCCAATTTGTGGTTTATTAGTGTAAGGATTGGCTTATACATTTTAACACATCGAAAAGTTGAATCAATTGCTAGGTCTACTTTTAGAAACTTTTGTTCACTATGTCGTACAAATATATTTTTCTTGTCAGAATCTATCTTACACATTTATAAGTCTACCATACAATTGTCTATTGAAGTCACATCTTGTTTGGTACTACTATATATCCCGTGATTCTTGAAAAAATTCAAAGAAGAGGCCGTAATGTAATCAGTTCTGATATTGCATCTCGACTTCAGTCACTTTTCCACCGACGTAACGTGGCTTCCTTCTGTCTTTTCCACGGATATTTTCATGGGAATTGTTCTGATAAGCTTTCCTCCTTGGTACTACTAGATATCACTGTTTTACTGTTGACCTAGCTATATACAACATTCAGCCCTATTCTAATAGTTTTTTTTTTCTTGCAACTCTGGCCTATGGAAGTCCCTTCCGATTTCTTGCTTCCCTGCTAACAACAATATTAAAAAATTAAATGCAACGCCAATCGCCGTTTTCTGTCTTCCTGACTCCTGTTTATATTGTCTTTTCTACTCGCTAAAGTCTCCTCATTCTCTTTCACTACCAGTAACCCCTTTTTCCTCGTGGCATTATCGCCTTGTTTTTTGTTGTTGTTTTTTTTTTGGTGGGGGATGATTAAAAACCAATTGACCTTACCATGAAGCTGAGGAAATCGTAGAATATGAAGGTGATTATCGCACCAATCGTTAGTGGAGTACTGTGAATCACCTCTAAGAATGTAGCTAAACGACTGGATGAACTGACAATGAAGAAAAAAGTCGAGTCCACCCTAAAGACAACATTACTAAAAAGAGAATACTAAGTAGAGTGCCGGGGTATTAATGAGATTTACTTCCACCATTATCTCCAGTGTAACCTACTTATTTGTTTACACTACTTATTATTTACACCTGGAATAAACGCTCAATAAAATAATAAAAATCGTTAATCTATATTTTTTCCAGATTTTTTCCTTGTAATATTTTTAGCTTAAAATTTATATTTGACTTGAACATGATATTGCATTTATAAACACGCCAAATATTTAAACCTAATTACTCAAAGTCTGGTAAATGTGACAATCGGGTGACCATTATTGATTTTAAATTTACTTCATAGACTCTTGAAAAAAAATAGCATTATATTTGTCAGAAGGCAGGATTTTTTTAAATGCATTTCGTCAAGAAATGTTAGAAGTCAGAGCGAGTGTGTCGTCTTTTCTTAATGTTAGATGTTTTCGTATGATCTGTCCTGTATACAGTAAATACTAGTTACATAATCAATTGATTTCACGTTAAGATGTTTATGTCATTGTCATGGCAATAATATTTCGATCAGAAGATTTTATAAAACATTCTTTTGAAAAAGTTTTAGCTGAAATAAAATTGAGTTTTTTGGGGGTTTTATTTTGCTGTTTTTTTCAAATGGCTATTATCTGTTTGATGATCACTTAATCAAATCTGATTTTGTACAAAATTACAAACGATACCCGGTCATCTGAAGTCAATTAGAAAAGTTTACCAGTTTTAGTAAATCTGTACTGAGAAAGTTTTAACAATGAAAAAGCACACATGGCAGTTTTATCATCGATTATTGATATAAGTGAAATATTGTTTCTTCAAAAAGTTTACTGAATTTAAAACCTAATAAAACTGAAAATGTTAGCAGACGGACAGATTTGCCTTCGGGTGAAAAAGGAATGTTGAAAAACCAGAAATTAAATAAGTTGAATAAAATAACGAAAATAACTGAAAGAAGAAAAACTTGTGGAAAATATTTTTGCTTACCTTTCTATGAAAACTCTATTATCGCAATATGTTTTTAAGAAAGGTGGCTTGACTAGACTGATGAACATTGTCATTGGCAATGGGTTTATTTGTGATCACTTGTTGAGAGTAAAAAGAAAACGAGTATATACTATCGGCACACAAACAAAATCAGTTCGTGTTTGTTCTGAAGAATCTTAATTTGTGAAGGATTTTTTTAAATGCATTTTCAATGAAAGACATCGCTAGACGAAAATGCTATCGCATTATTAAGATTTGATGCAATATGTGCACATAAAAAGAAATGGAGAGTTGAACATTATTGTTGCAGACAGTTTTGCCTGGATGCTTTATGGCTAATATTCACTGAGGACAACATTTTGAATAAAAACTGAAGTTATGTCACGAAGGTAATAAAAATTGAGTGAAAACAATAAGAGGAAAATTTTAAATTCCACTTCGCTGTTGATAGAGTGATGCATTTATTCGAATCAGTTTTCATTGTTTACTGCTGCTGTTCAATGTAAGAGAGGGTCTGGAAAATTCTTAGCAAGATCAAGAAGCTGTTCAAAAAAACATTTTCATATTTGATCATTTGATCAAATTTTGAGAAGTGAGTTGAGGTTAGATCTTTTCAGCACCCCTTTATAACAACGCCGGAAAATATCGAAATGAGTCCAAGCAAAAATTACGCTATGTTTTGTTTTTTTTTTTTATTTACCAGCTTCTCTATCTCTCCTTTGTCTATATTTACACATCATATATACATGAGTAAGAAGTTTGCTTTCCACTGATAAATACGTTTTTGGCAAGTTGGAAATTGTTTTTGTTTTTTTTATTTTGTTTTTTGTTTTTTGTTTATTGTGTGGTGTGGTGTGGTGCGCTCTGGCATGATAACGTCTAGTCAGTTGCTACCTGCAACACAGTAGGAAAAATAAACATTTGAGGGTCAACAATGCCCAAAGAAAAGGACGCTGCTCATTTTGAGGAGATGCAGTGCTAGTACTAGGATATCATTTCTGGTAATGAATTCCTGGCAGCGCCTATGATACTGGAGGAAGTAGCAAAGAGAATTTTCTTCCTGCTAATAACTGATGTAAAGACCAGAAAGTTGGTCGGAGTTAGCAGAGAGACCAGGAATTAAAAAGTCTCCACCTCTAAGTAAGTGCCTTGTGTAAGAGAAGCACAACAAAGTCTGTGAGGATGCAAACAGAATACATGGGCACCTTGAAAACAAAAATAACATGTACCTCAATAATAAGAAAGTCGGTCATCGTTACTGGAAACTTCGAAATATATATGACGGTGACTCTGAAGACCTTTTCGTGCATTTCCATACGCAGTTCTGCTGCTGTAGGCAGTTTTTTTTCACATTGGACTTGTGGTGTCACGGGACATTTGTCATGTCCCAGAAGGAATCCGATGCCACTAGCGCGTTAACTTTTTGTTTTGATTCTATCCACAGAATACAACGACCATTCTTATTTTTTGTGGATTAGATGGTCCTTACTAACAGATTTAATTTGTTTTAAACGTTTAGTTTATATTTTTCTTCAATTAAATGGGTTCATCCCTCCTCTCTTATACCATTGTAAATATTCCATCACACTTCCCAAATTTTTATATAAATTTGTAAAAAAATTTAAAAAAATGTTTGTACATATATACCCATGATTTTTACTGTCATGGGTGTATTATTAGGTCCTCTGTGAAAATATGGTATTTTGGTGCATGGTCGAGCTGAGGAGAAAAGAGGTAAGAATTCTTGTGGTTACTCTTAAGATGCGTGGGTCATGAATGTATTATTTTGTTTAATAAATAATCCACATTTGGCAAAACTCGCTTTGCTATCGTCGGAAACTTCGTGTCTTGTAAAGAATTTCCCTTGACGCATTTCCTGAAGTTACGAAACACCCGCCGTTTTTTTTTTTTTTTTTTTAGTCAATGGCCTCACTGGTCTATTCAGCATTGTTTTTTCTTTCTCTCTCTCTCTCTCTCTCTCTCTCTCTCTCTCTCTCTCTAATTGTTAAAAGTAAAATATGTTAACCGCTGTTGCTCTAACCTCAACACACACTTATTATTCTATATGATTTTATGATGCAGTTGAATGACTATGTGAAGTGATTACTTGAAATTTGTTAATATTCAAGTATGGAAGTACTATCTCTCATCTTGGTTCATTAAATTAGTATTTTATATTGTTTTAAACTTTCAGTCTGGTTTTCCTCCTGGACAGCTTTTAGACGTAAATTCTAAATAGCCACATTATTATACAAATATTTTATATTATAATTTGGCATTACATTCTGTTTATATAACATTCTATGTGCAAACAAATTATTCCGTAATTCAGTAGATCGTCGATGTAGCATTCTGGATCATTAATAACATTTCTCGCCGACTTCGATTTTGCTGCAGGCATCAAGGTTTGGAATTTATTTTCATTAAAAACGGTTTTAAACTTTTTCCTGTCTTGTTCAATTTTTACATTGTAAACATGCAGTGGTTTCTATAATTAGAAATTAATCTTCATCCTACCATGTCTATTACTGATTTTTTTTTTTTTTTTTTTTGACAAGAGTAGTGATGTAAGCGACAGAACTTCAAAGGAATGAAGAACTGGCTTTTATGATGAATAAAATAAGAATAATTTACTGATTAAAAAGACAATGAAAGCTCATACTCTGATGGAAGGGAGAAAATTGAATCATTGAGATGGAACAAAAATATTGATATTGATCAATTACTGCACTTCTGGAGTACCACATAACAATTCCGCATTCATGTCAAAATATCGATGACTTTGCACCGCGCCGCTGTCAAGTATAGAAGTCAAAACAAACTTCGACATCCCTACACCGTTCGAAGGAAAATGCGGTATATGAAGTTCTCTATACAGTATTAATTTACGCCTACGAACTTGGAATGAAAAGAAACCATATGAAAATGAGGCTAGCTATACTGTGCTACTTTTCGTTCACCAAGTTCGAACAAAAAAAAGAAGACAGCGTGGGAACTGTTTCGTCTTTCAGAAACATGTAAATGGTTATTCGTTATGTTCGAAAATAACCTAACACATAGCACGATTATGTAAGAGTAATGCAGGATTGAACGCTTTACTTTGCCTCGGATGAACAATCCAGCTAAATCACTCAGTTGAGCCACCTAATACCTGCTGTCATTTCGACGAATAAAAGATGTTAGACCAAGGACAAATCACAATGTGAAAAACGCTACTCAGTTATTCCTGACAATTTCCAAATAGATGACTGCGGCTGTTCGATGTGCTGATATTACATTTCTCTGATTTTTTTTTACTTATGAAAAAAATAATTTAGTCAGTTTAAAATAGTTCTTTTTACTTTATATAATATTTGTGATTTCAAAGAACTTGTGTAAAAATGGCTATTAAAGAGATTCAGAGAAAAGTTGTTTTTCCTTGAAGATCTCCACAAAAATACGGTGTAATTGGCTGTTTCAAGAAGTTTTCTTGCATTTTTTTATTTGATTATAAGTAACACTAAATATTAGAGAAAACGTTTTTGCGTTTGAATGTCGAAAATGTTGATTGATTTCTTCGCTTATTCAGTTGTTAGTCACGATGGGCTCGGGTATACGCCTAGTTGTTATTAAATGAAGATTTCTGTACTTTATGTAAATGGACTGACGAAATCCAATATAGATTCCAGGAAAATTGCTGTTTTTTCCGTTAGTTTAAAATATCACTTTAATTTTTGTAATTGGGACAGAAATTTGTATATGTGTTTGGCTTTTTGGCACGAATTTAATTTTAGTTGAATCTAACTTGCTTATCAAAAGATTTGAGTTGTAGGTAATTCATCTTTTTTCGTCAGATAATATTTTGAATACTGAAAGGTCAACTTCCAGTTGTCTGATAAAGAAAGTGTTTTAATAGGCCATAATTATAACAGTAGGTTTCTTAATGTCAACCATTATATCAATATCGCTTCTCTTATGTGGAAATAGATTTATTATACTGTACATTTCCGCATATCAAATGGATAATAACAGCTGTACATTTTGAAAGAGTGAGATGAAATCGATTATTTCCTGTTCTATTCTAATAAATTAAATTATAAAAAGATTAATTTTCATATCGAAAAGAATACACCCTTTCTTTGTTTGGTCTGTTCTGACAGTAGTAATAACAATATTTAATGGAGTCATATACACATGTCTCTGACTTGAGAGGATACGATTCAAAATATATTCTCTCGGAAAAACCCACTTCATGTAAGTCTGCAAAAGTCAGAGTTGACAATGACATTATATAAAAGGAAACTTTTTCTCTCTCTTACTCACAGAAACCCTCACAAGTGCACTCACCGTGCTAAGTATATTGTACAAAAACATCTTGAAAGTATGCGATGCCGACAGAAATGGAAATATTTTAAATATTCGGCTAACTTGCTCTTAAATACGCGTCTTTCGCGGCAGTAAACAATTGATCCTTTGATCTTTACTTTACTGAATGAAATGACTCTCATAGAGCCACTGCCAGCGAGCTGTGACCCTCACCACTATCATAGTCATGACATACATGGTGCTCAGTAAACATTGATTTCGTTTTCTGGATGAGATTGATCAAAAAGAAAATTCATTAGATTCCATAAAACACAAACACACGCACACAAAATTTCCAAATCAAACACCGACATAAAAAAATATGTCACGAGGAATACGCATTTAAATTTAGCCAAAATTTAGATAACTTCCTGTCAACAAATTACTTATAATGGGAAAACATAATTTGAAAGGTCTCTTCTATTAGAATGGTATTTTAAATTCGAAATATTTAAGAGAAATATATTCAGAAGTTATAGATTTTTAAAACGCCAGCATTCTCTGCGTACTTGAATCTCAGGCTATTTTTATAAAAATTGGTATATCTTGTTAATCTGATATATCGATTCAGTAAACTGTTGCGTCTTATATTCAGTCGGTCTTTTTTTTTATTCGTATCGGTTTTCACCCTGGTCGGGTTGAACCGGCTTCCTCCCGAGCAAGTACAGCATCACGGACCATCGCTGCCCACGCTCGCCGATCAAGAGCCAGGTCACACGAAATGGCGAGCCAATCGCGATTCAATCGTCGAAGACCAACTACTTGTGAACCCGATAGTACTGCTAGGTCATCCTTGATTGTGCTAGCCCACGTCCTCAGCTGCCCACCGACACGTTTTCGCCAACCAGGAAGAGAAGGAGGGAGAAGTACATCGCGGATGAGCTCTCCCTCCTGGCGTCGAGCTGCGTGCCCGAAGCATCGGAGACGACGCTGGAGCAGGACGGATGAAAGAGGACGGAGACTCAGGCGACGACGTAGAGTGTCTGTGGGCACACGATCGATTCGGCGGCATCGTAGAATGCAGCGAAGGCAATCGTTGTCGAACACTTCAAGCCTTCGTAGGTCAACCGCTCTAAGTGGTGACGGTTCGCAGCCACAGAGAAGGAAAGTCCGAACAATAGCCTGATAGATGCGCCCCTTCGTAGCCGTGGAAATCTCCCGTCGCTCCCATAGTGACCGCTCGAGACGCACGATTGCAGCTCCTATATGGCGTTCAACCTCAACAGCAGCCTGCCCGGATGGTATAATGGTTGAACCGAGATAGACGAAAGACTGCACGTCCTCCAGATTGACTCCGTCCAGCGTCAGTGGCCACCAGTTGACTGAATCAATCAGGGACGGCACAACTTTGGTCTTCGAGGCATTGATGGTCATACCCACATCCCGTGCTGCAGCTTGCACACGGTTGAGCGCAGCTTGCACATCGTCACAGTTCGATCCGACCAAGACAATGTCGTCCGTGTAGGCCAGATCAGACACCCTGACATTCCGACCAACCGCAACTCCAGCGTAGTCCCGAAGGGCCTTGCCGAGGATGCAGTCGATTGTATAGTTGAATAGGGTAGGAGATAGGGCACACCCTTGCCGCACACCAGTCCTCGCCTCAAACGTCTCCGACTCCTCACCATAAGCACGAACACGGGCTCGCGTCGACTGGTAGTAGCCCTTGATGAGACGTTTAGCGGGCATGCCATCGGCCTCCATGATACGCAAGAGTGAGCCTCTATCAACGGAGTCGAAAGCAGTCGCAAAGTCGACGAAGCAGAGGACTGTTGGTTGCTGGTATGCCCAGCGTTGTTCGAGGGTGCGCCGCAGGCTGAAGATCTGATCAACATAGCCTCTGCCTGGGCGGAAGCCACCGCGAGACGGGCGAGTTCGCAGATCACGGATGCCTTGAAATCTTCGCAGGAGAAGCACTGCAAATACCTTGGCCACTACGTCGATGAGGCTGATTCCTCTGTAGTTCGAGCAGAGTCTCCTATCACCCTTTTTGAAAAAAGGGAGTAGGATGGCCTCGCTCCAATCGGAAGATAGGTCTCAGAGAGCCGGACCGCTTTGAAGACATGGTGCTCCCACAACGCGAATACATCTGGCACGGCTTTATATACCATCCTCACCAGGAGCCTTGTTGTTACGCAGATGGCGCATGATATCTCGCACTTCATCTACTGTTGGGGGTGCAGTGTTGCAGTCGTATTCATCGGTCGGTTCAACGGCCACTTCCGTCGCCGGAGTCGGATGATTGAGTAGCTCGTTAAAATGCTCTTTCCACCGATTTAGCCGCTCGCCCAGACCTGCTATAATAGCACCATCACGGGAACGAAGAGTCTCATTCACCCCCGTAGTTCCGCGACTCACCTGTCTCACCATCTGGTAGAGTTTGCGAGAGTCGCACGCTCAGTCTCTTCGGCGAAGGCGCGCCAATGCGCATTTCGGTCAGCGCGGATGGAGTAAATTGCGCGGCGCTGTAGATCGCGAAAGTTCGCAGCTCCTGTCTGTCTCGCTACCCTCGCCTCTTCCACCAACCGAAGTCTCTCCACCGTGATCCAGTCCCGATATTGGTGACGGGTGACACCAACATGGGCATGTACCGCTTCGACGGTGGCAGATTTGAGATCCTGCCATTCAATTTCTGGTTGAGGCTCAGAGCTTGGTTGGAGGAGAGAGAACCAACCCGAACTGTTCTCCCGCGCGCAGCTTCAGATTGGCGACGTTGATTCGCTTCAGGATCTTGGTGGATCTCATTGCCCGCAGTCGCAGACGGAGGCTTGCGCGGACAAGTGTATGATCCGATCCATGCGCACTGCCGTATCTGCACCGCGATAGGCTCGAGAGTCAAGTACAGAGCTTGCCCATCTCGCCCGTACCAGGTTGGATGTACAACCGTCATTGGAGCGCCAGGTGACGAGATGTCGTCGCGGGTGCTGGAAACGAGTGTTAGTCACCATAAGACGGTTAGCGACCGCAAAGTTGACTAGGCGGTCGCCATTCACACCGTGTTCCAGGGGCGAATCGACCTAGAACATGTCTGGTGCCTTCATCCGCCGGTCCTATGCGAGTGTTCCAATCCCCTGCCACCACTAGAAGATCAGTGAAACTGCTTGTAGGTCGCGGTAGAAGATGTCCTTGTCCTCCTTCGCTGCATTCAGTGTCGGTGCGTAGACGGAGATGACGGTGACATTTATAACAGCGCCTTTGAGACTGGTTCTCAAGCGAGCAGTGCTGCCCGTGCTACTGGGCTGAGAGCAATCACCACTCCATACAGCTGGCTGTTGTCCTCCAATCCACTATGGTAAATGTGGTAGACACAGTCAGACTCTGGCACTTTGATTATTCTATGGCCGCTATCCGGGAGGCGGACCTCTGACAGACAGGCGAAAAAAACACCATACTTGTACAGAGTCCTGACGGTGAGAGACTGCGTTCCTTCGTCGCGAAGAGTGCGGACATACCAGCCAGCAATCTTCATCACATCTCTTCTTGCAAGGACTATGGTGGCTTGCTGATTTCTCACCGGTCCCGCCGACCAGAAGACCGGCGCGTCGGATACACATGCAAGCGGACGCCCTAGCATTATTCGTACTCTTGTTATTTGTATAAAGGAAGATTCATTGGGATTTGATTAAGGGAAGAGTCCCGAGTCCTACCAGAGGGAAAGGGAAAAACGCCCTGTTTGCCGCAGATTTTCCACAGACGCATTGAGAGAGCGACCCGAGGCCGCCGGTTGCTGGAACAGACACCTCCTGGATTTTCACCAGAGCCCCTTTAGCCGGGTTGCGGTCCTAAAACCGCTGGGTGCCAAACCAATCCGCCTTGGGTGGCCCTACCAGGAACCGAAGTTCCCGACGACATAGCCCTGGCACTACCACGTTGCCACCGCCCTGCGACGTTGAGGGGGGGGACTTTTAGATCGGCAATCACGTGTACCCAATTTTAAATTACTTTTTCATTAGCCTTAATGTGCATTTTTCTTTCATCAAGATGTACAAGATTCTATACAAATTAGGTTTCATTATCACCCAATTTTTACTTTGATTCAAATGACTTGTAGAAAACATCATCTGAAGAATAACATTAACAGCTGTTTTCCTACCATTTGTAGGCCTTAATTTTATTAATCGTCTCCTTACTTCTATTATTGTTTTATGCAGATCGTTGCAGTGCAGCCGTATTGCTATCCACAAAAATCTGGTGATTTCCTTCATTTTTCGCTGTATTATATTTATAATCATGTCAGAGCCATACATAATGAACCAACAAGTGTCCTACAGAAATGTGGTAAGTTAACAGTTCTCCCTTTACCCCAGTTATAAGTGTTATTAAATTATTAGTATTATATTTTTCATATCTTTTTCTATATATTTTCTCATTTAATACGCACCTTGTTTCCTTCCTATCTTATCGAAAGAAAGCAAAGTTATATATCAAGTCAACAACTCACTAATAAAAATGCTTTAGATTTGCAATTTAAATTCACAATATTTGTAACAAAAAGTGTTATCCAACTCTGGGCATTAATTAATGGAAATTCTTGAAGAAAAATCTTTCGTGATATCAGATGCTTTGTTGTTTTATGCCCTGATTATCACTGAAACTCTTAATTGCTCCAGGAAATTCTACAAGGTTTCTTTGCCTGTTTGTAGCGGACACAATATAGAAATGAGTCGAGCGTTCTTATGTAAGTGGAAGTGATTACAACAATATTTGACATTGTGAAAAACCTGCGTATTTAGTAAGATTTGTATTGACAAAGCATATAAATATAATTACAATGTTAGATTTGATTAAAAGCTTTGAATATTTGTAAAAGTTTTCATTATTTTTGTTTCATACAATCGTTTTATATGAATCGAGAAATTTACACAGGTAATGACTATGAGAGTACATAATATGAAACTGTAAATTATAAATCCTTGTTTCTCACTCTCTCGCTGTCAATAAATAATGAATTATGAACAATTATAATCAGAACATTGATTACATGAATAAATTCAAAAAGAACATTACACTGAAATCGAGAGCCTTAAAAGAACATGTTCTCTTACTTCTCTTTCGTAGCCTCCTACGACTTTCTCTCTCTCTCTCTCCTCTCTCTCTCTCTCTCTCTCTCTCTCTCTCTCTCTTCACGTCTATCTCATTCGTTTACACATTACACAAGTAAGTGAAATAAGAGCCATTCAAATCATAACTCCTTAAAATTCTTTAAGATTTTAGGCGTTGGTTTCTAGTCAAGATAAAAGACAGTCTAGCTACAATGAAAATCTTGAATTATCTATTACAAAAGTCAAGTGATTTCTATCAATAGAAAATCTACTCTACCAGAGCCATGCGATACGCGTGAATTTACTTCTACTACTTATTTTCTAAACCCGATTAAAGGAATAACAAAAATATCGCTACAGAAAATACCTTTGTATCTGAGAGGCTTTGAAAGTTCACATAATCGGCAAAAATAAAAAGTTCAAAAGTCTTTTTAGATCGTTTGCAACGTGCCTTACAATCACTTATATTTTTATAGCCTGTTTCAAGTTTCTTGAAACTGTTCTCATCATTTTAGTTTCGTTTTCAGAAAAAGAAAGATTACAAACTGATTTTAAGCAGTTTTTCATATTTCATTCTGTCAAGAGAGATCAGTGAACAAAATGAATGAACGAATTTGTAGAGAAAATTATTCAGACTTGCTTTATTATTACTTGTTAGCAAATGTAATCCCGTGATTTGGGATACTATATTTTGATAAAAATAAATGTTATTAATGACAGCATATCAATATTTTAATGTGCTTTAATGACAACATATCATTAGTATTCAATTTTATTATATTTTAGTATATTGTTTAATGACAACATATCATTAGTATTCAATTTTATTATATTTTAGTATATTGTTTAATGACAACATATCATTAGTATTCAATTTTATTATATTTTAGTATATTGTTTAATGACAATATATACATTTTCAGTTTCTTTCTGGAAAGTAATTCTTTATTCTGTTTTTTCCTGATTTGTATGATTAAATATAAGGATTGAATAATTTCGTCGGTCGCGACAAATATTAGAAGCAAATAACCAGATTGTTTGATTAAATCTTTATTATAGTTAGAAGTTTCATATTCTATGTTAAAGCTATTATTATATAACACTCGCCTGTTTAACTCAAATTTAGCAGGTGGGTTGCTTTGAATTTAATTTTAAATAACGAAACCGTCGTACTAAAATTGAAAAAATATCTTGGTTAATACTGATCGTATATTAAATGTTTCCATATCCATGCAGGAGTGTTTTAAATATGTTACTTTTACTTTACATCAAAATGATAGTCGGAATGATAAGTATTATGATCAACATGTATTGCTTAAAAAATGGTCAATTATCCAAATTTGATTCATAATGGTGAAAATGCAATGTCTAATATTCAGATGTTGTTTGGCGCTTGATATAGACAGGTTTGCATGCCGTAAAAAGGTTTAGTTTCCATTCATTATGAAATCACTGCACTGGGCTTTGAATTAGAAAGGTAAAATTGAGAGTGATCTGGCTCTTGTAAAGATAGAGGATAGCAGGAGTAGTCAGGTATTTACTGGAGCGGTACAGAGAGCCAACCATTTTACCTGCATACTTAACAATGTATCATATGCACGAGTTCTACTTCAGGTCATGATTTTGAAGCCCAGCAGTCTTTCAAAGTACGGTGTATCTGTTCATCCTGATTAGTGGTACTTCAGGGTCAGATCGGCGATGATGGAATGTAATTAGCTTGGCCTTCGGGGCATTGGATGTATGCAGCCAGTTTTTACCCCATTGGGTATTTTGTGCAAGATCGGAAGAGAGATCAGTCACCAATTTCTGACCATCAACATTTTTAGAGGTGCGCCCGTATATAATCGTATCATAGATGTTTGAAATAATTTGGGTATATTCCTATCATTTATATGGATCAAAAAGAGGCGTCATTACCTTCAGCGACCTATCTGTTAAGAAGGATTTTATGATCGAGAAGAGCCTTCCAGTGATTCAATAATTGGAGAGCTTGTGTGCCGCACATTGTTGAAGGCCTTTGAGATATCTAGTGCTATAGTCCTTGAGATATGTTTGTAGTCAAGAGGCTCACTGATTCTGTGAGTGATGGTAGTTAGGACATCGGCAGTGGATCTTGCTGACCGAAACCCATGCTGCTCGTCACTGAAGGAGTTGTTCTTTTCTAGGTGTTCGACTACCTTCTTATTGATTATGGCCTCTAAAAGCTTACTGATGATACTGAGGAGACTGTCTGTACTCGGAAGGGGAAGATCGCATGCCCGCGTTTTTGAAAACCAGGAATACGTTTGATATTTCCCACAGGCTTGAGAAGGATTGAATAACTTTGCTAGGATTGGAGATGATTCGGTTGATATTATAAGGACAATAACTAGACCAGTGGCTTTCTCAAGGTCAAGACCTTTAATAAATCTAGAGACATCTCGTCCTGTGATAGTAATATTACTGAGATTGAGATCAGAACGATCATAGTGCCGTACCTTCGTAATTACCATGAGTGAACTGTCGCCATTCTACATTTTTAAATTCACATATGCGCGTTGTTTCTTTTTGATTTTGTCGACAGCACAAACATATCAGAGTATTTGGGTGTCAACCTGAAGATAGTGCAGAGGATTCGGAAAGAGTTGGATGAGTCTAATGGTGATTACGAGGGTGTTTGGATTGATCACTAGAGATGGCGACGTTATACCTCCATTCCCACAGGACCTCATACTCAACGCGGAAGCCTACATCAAGTGCTTTGAGGAGGTAGTGCTGCCTTTGGTCAAGAAGGTTGCTACTGGAAGACCCTGGTCTCTGCACCATGCCACACAAACAGGAGAACCCAATCATGGCAATAAGACAAAAT